CTATTTTCTTCAATTAGTAAAGGTGACTGGTTAAAAGTATCTTAATATAAGATAATGGATTAAAAGTTACAAATTTATTAAGTAAATGACTAAAACTAAAAGTAAGTTTTTGCCCATGATGTTACGCCATGAAGTTAAAAAGGTCTGATCTTTCTCTCTTTTTATGTAATTTATCAACTGGATATTATTTTTTTCTTTCTCTGGGAAATGTTTTGTTTTCTTCTGTTGGAGATTCTGCAATAGGACAATGGGAATGGATAATTTTGGGGTGACGCTGACCTTGAAATTTTTGTGAGAGAAATTGGAAAATTACTCTGCTAATTAAGTCTTAAAAAAAAAAGTGCAGAAGTACTTTTTCCTGCTCTTTTTTTCTCATTCTTTATTTCTCCAAAAGCAAATGGATTTGTATATTTGTGGTCTCAAAAAATCATCCATGAATTTTAGGTAAAAGAAATTGGAAAAAAAAAAAAAAAAGGTGGATAATCACTCGACCAGTTTGCAAATGACTCAAAAAGAAAGGGACAGAAAAAGAGAATAACTCCATAATCTTTTGAATTTTTTCTTTTATGTTGAAAAATCTTTTTCTGATTAAAAAATCACATAGAAACCAGATATTCCTTTTGTGAGTTTTTATCTTTAACTGGAAGTAAAAAAATATCTTCTTCCTTTTCATGTCTTAATGTTCTGCAATTTTTGTTTTTCCTTTCATGCGTCTAATTACGTTTTCCCTTAAAATTTCAGGTGATTTGCTTCCTCTGTGACACAGAACAAGATGTGAGTCTCCAAAAAACGAAAACAGAACAATTCATTTCTTGAGAAATAGAAATTCTCTATTTAGTTTCTAATATTCTTGAATTCTTGTGTTGAATCCTTTCAGGTACAACAATACTGTATCGGCTGTGGAGTTTGCATGGGGAAGTACTTCTGCGGAGAATGCAAATTCTTTGATGACAATGTAAGTTCCCCTTTCAAATCTTGTCATCAATAATCATATGAGGTTTAGCTTGCAACACTGAGTGAATTTTTTTGTAATGAATTGTGACCATTTTCAGGTTTTGAAAGAACAATACCACTGTGATGAATGCGGAATATGCAGGTAAGGTTTTTGATTTTTATCTTAGGCATTTCTTAGCTAGATTGTTGTAATTCCTGTGGCTCAATGTTTAACAAATTCCATGTCAAGGCTATGCTTGAGTATCTCTTTTCTTTTCCATTTCTTTATTCTTCTTTTTCTTCTTTTTTTCTACTGAAGTATCTCCGATTGCCATGCAGAGCTGAAGGCAAGGAAAACTTTTTCCATTGCAACAAATGTGGTAAGTGAAAGAAACCCAACTACTGGAGAAAGCCTAAAGCAGCCAGTCCTTTCTCTTTTCCTCTTCTCTTGGATCAAGCTGATGTTTAGAAATTGAAATTTCTCCTGCAGGTTGTTGCTATTCTAAATTGAAGAAGGATACACATCATTGTGTGCAGAGAGCAATGCACCATAATTGCGCCGTTTGCTTGGAGGTAAAATACAGCAACCTAATCATTCTTCATCTGAATTTTAAGAAAGATTCAGGGAAATTTGTCTTTAAGCAGGATGAGATCTTCCTCTTTTGCAGTTTCTTTTTGACACGATGAAAGATGTAATAGTGTTACCTAGTGGGCACACTATGCATCGGGAATGTTTTGAAGAGATGCAGCTACATAACCAGTAAGCAAATTGTATGGTGAACGAATGAAATAGATACACTATAACTAAAATGAGATAATCGGTATGGTAATTCTTGTATTCATTCCATTCCTATTTCTGATTGTTTACTACAGTTATAACTTATTCCTCGGTGTTGCAGGTATTCTTGCCCAGTTTGTCAAAGTCCATTGCCAATATGACACCACTCTGGAAAAAGCTTTATCAAGAGGTACTTGTGAGTTAATTATGGGTTTTTTTTTCTTTTTTTTTTTCTTTTTTTTTTTTGTACTGACAATGTACATGTACTTGTAGAAGTTGTGCATAATGTCCTTAACATTGATCGTGATGAATTCTAATGCAGATTGCTTCAACACCAGTGCCTGCAATATTCCAAAATAAGATGGTAAGAAACTACGCCATACTCCATTAGCAAGCTCTGTTTAAAAGAATGATAACCAACAAGTTTCTAACTCAAGTTTTGTTGTTCGAAATTAGGTGTGGATTCTTTGCAATGACTGCAGAGCAAATTCCCATGTATATTTCCATCCTACAGCGCACAAATGCCTGACTTGCAACTCCTACAATACGAGACAATTAGTGATCTTAATATGCTATATTACCGCAATAACCCTAACCAAAAAATCATCCCTCCCCACTTCAATGAGAGGGATTTTTACTACAACACACGAAATGGAAGCAAGTTTTGGGTGTAAGAAACAGGAATGCAAAGACTTTACCCCAAAAAAAAAAAACAGAAATGCAAAGTGCAGCCTTTTTTTTTTTTTTTTGTTTTTTTCTCCTGAAATAAATAATCAGAGAGCATTAATATATTATCTTGTCCTTTCCTTACTCAAATTTAAGTGAAACAGAAACAGAAACAGAAACAGAAACAGAACCCTAGGTACAGGCAGGCACATTGGCACCACACAATCCCAACTGCCCCTGTTTTTTCAAGTTAGAGGAAAGGGATCAGATACACAATTATTAGTCTGTTCCAAAGTTGGAAGTTTTTTTAAATTTGTGGTCAGCTCTTAAATACAGATACAAAACAACATCATGAATATGGAACATAATAATGTTAGTACTAAATTAAGTAGACCCCTAGAAACGCATTATTTTTTTTCATTGTTTAATAATTTTGTCGGGATGTTCCCAATAAGCATTTATGCCTTAGGAATGCTTTTATTACATTATGCTAACATCTCTCTCTCCTCCCTTATTGTTATTATTTTTTTATGGCAAAGAGAAATGGAATAAGAGTGGGGCCATTAACGTCTCTTACTGAATATTCTATATATATGATTGAACTAGGCAGATACATTTATTTATTTATTTTGAACAAAATTATAAATTAAAAGGAAAAAAAATTTGAATTTCAATTTTTAGATTGAAGAAACGTACTTTATGAATTGATTTATGACCGTTAAGTCGTGAGGTTCAAATACCGATTACATGACATTTAAATTTAATATCATTAGTTAAAATTTTAAATTGTAAAAATTTTAACTTTAACCTTTAATACTAATTATTAATCACATTAAATCTTTATGTCACGTAACCCAATTAGATGGTGTATTTAAAAAAATAGTACATATTAAAGGGAGTGTGCCTAGCACTGCCCTTTATGCCTTTGTAAAAATGAATAAATGTTTAGTGAGTGTAAGCAATTCAAATATTTCTTTTTGGCAGGAAGAGTTCCAAACATTTTATAGTAACGGTTTTTTTAATCAACATTTTATAGTTACTGTTTTATAGATTTCGTGTTTAAAAGAGATTTTTTATTGCAAAAATAAATTACATCAAATTTCCTACAAGTATCTTATAACCCAAAAAAAAAAAGAAATTTACTACTAATATCTCTTTATAAGTAGATTTCTCATTTCGTGTTTAAAAGATTTATTATAAGTTAGTTTTAAACTTCTTCTAAAGCAAATTTGTCTGTATTGCGTAGAATGAAACTTATTCTTGTATGTAGAGTCTATATTATTTTACCCTATTGTTTGTGGCCAAAAAAACCAAAAAGAACTTCTAAAGCTTTTTTTTTTTTTTTTTTTAATTTAAGATTATATAATAAAAAATAATATTCTTACATCTTTTAACCTATCTCACACCAATCGTTGGCATAGAGGATGACCTATAAAAAGCAATCATTCGCGTAAACATATTGCTTTTATTGGATTAAGCAAAAGATTTCTGATACGCAAAGCTTCCACACGATAATTGAGGCAGCGCCCATAACCGATTGCCTCCGTAGCCCAAAGATATAT